TTTTTCACTATAGGGCGCGTGCGCTCGCCAGACAGAGAGAGACATAGAGACAGAAAGCGAGAAATCACCCCCCAGGGGGGATGGTCACGCCACAATCCCTTCTCCTCCATTCTCCTCCCGGGATCTTGGGCACGCACGCACACGCGCCCGGCGTGAGTTTTAAGCCACCGGGTCCGGGACACGAACTGCGGTTGACTGCGTGGGAGTCCAGTGACATAGCCATTATGCTAACTGCTGGTTCCCTTTTTTTTTTTTTTTTATAATTTTTTTTTTCTCTTTTTTTGGAGAGTTTTTTTCTTATTGGGCATGTGTGCTCACCAGAAAGAGAGAGACAGAGAGATAGAAAGCGGGAAATTACCCCCCAGGGAGGATGGCCACGCCACAATCCCCTTTCCTCCATTCTCTCGGGATCTTGAGCACGCACGCACACGCGCCTGGCGTGAGTTTAAGCCACCGGGTCCAGGACTCGAACTGCAGTCGACTACATGGGAGTCCAGAGACATAGCCATTACACTAACTGCTGGTCCCCAGATGGTAAGTTTTTAATAAATGTTATTTGTTCATTTTTGTAATTTAAAGACAATCATACGTGAGTATGATTGATTTATGCTTAGCGCTGTTATATAAAGCTGGTATTTGAGGATCTGCATACCTTTATCCACACATTTTATTTATTTTCTTTGTAGTCAGTTGGTTTGTGTATGGCTATAAAACTATTGTGATGGCAGAGAGTAAATTAAACTGGCATGTACTAGGCTTTCCTCTTTCTGTGCTCTCATGAGTTGAACTGAGCTGTTATTGCAGTTTCGGTTTTTAATTTCTTCAATTTTAACGTAATAACATAACTACATTAAAACTATGGATATATCTACTCATTTAGTAAGGTACCTATTAAATACCCTCTTTATTTTCCAATGCATATTAATTTCCAATTACAAGTAGAAGATTTATAGAACTTGATTATAGCTTTATTGTACATAAAAATCATGACCATTCTACTTTTTTAAGGATATGTTTTTAATTTTGTTTCCTTAGAAATACTTGAACTGTTTCCTTCTGTGTCATACCCTACTTACTATTAGGAGTACATTTGTGGAAAGGAACAATAACTTCCTTGGCTGACTCATGCACAAATGAACCTTTTTGGTTCACTTAGCATAGCTGCTTGAGGCCCCCTGTGTTCGCTCTCTCTGAGCTTGGTTCTCCCCCCATGGTGATCTGCAGCTCTAAACTCAATATACCACATAGGAAATGTTAGCAGAAAGAGTGCATTTTCCTCAGTGTTTTCTGCAGGCAAGTTGCAGAGAGTCTGAAATGGGCTTGGATCGTGTGCCCATCACTGAGTGAACCAATTTAGTGGAGGGAATGGGACTGATGAATCCCCTCCAGTCTCTGGCCACCCACATGGGAAGAGAAAGGGAAGAGAACATTTGTGATCAGCAGAGGACATGGATAATATGAAAAACAATAATATCGGATTGCTCTTCATTTACACAGAGAGGCTTGCAGGGTTTTTTTAAACCTTATTTTTCTGAAATTTGATTAAATGAGACTTATGCGTGAAAGCACTTGGTACAGGGCCTGGTCATCAGAAGATTGACACTGAACCACAGCTAGAATTCTGCGTACTTTAGATGATAAAGTGAGAGGTTGAATTTTTTAAAAATATCTTTTGATAAAATTTCTTATTTCTAAAGAAAAGTTATAGGAATTGTACAAATAATTCCTATGTAAACTTTATCTGAACTTGATAGTTTTAGCATCTTGTCCCAGATACTTGACCATTGATTTTCCTTTCTCTCTGCACACACATATGTGCACACTTTTCTGGGAAAGATTTGAAAGTCATTGCACACGTGACCCTTTAATCATAAATATTTTAATGTTTTTCTGAGAATAATGATTCTTTTTGTTATATTGCTGTAATACATTGATTTGGGAAAAAGTTCTAGTTTCACTGCCCTTTATTTTATTTTTATTTATTTATTTATTTATTTATTTATTTTGGAGAGATTTTCACTGTAGGGCGCGTGCGCTCGCCAGACAGACAGAGAGAGACATAGAGACAGAAAGCGAGAAATCACCCCCCAGCGGGGATGGTCACGCCGCAATCCCTTCTCCTCCATTCTCCTCTCGGGATCTTGGGCACGCACGCACACGCGCCCGGCGTGAGTTTTAAGCCACCGGGTCCAGGACACGAACCGCGGTCGACTACGTGGGAGTCCAGTGACATAGCCATTACGCTAACTGCTGGTTCCCACTGCCCTTTATTTTCTACTGGCTATGTATTGCTAAACTTAAGGATCACACCCATGCTGATTCTGTCTTGGCTTCCTAGATCTCTTATTCCTCACATAGTTGATTCGTCTCATTGACATCTCTTATATAATTTGCTTATGTCTGTTAAAGTTAGCAGTTTTTAACTTTTTGCTTATTTATGTACAAACATTTTGAGGATAGCAATTAAGAGTGCGTGGTGTGTTTGTTGTCTACCTGGCACCTGGGATAGTGTCAAATCATATAAGGCGAGTATTGTAAAACCTGGGATCATCCATTCAACTTCTCACGGCGAAATGGGATTATACTACTGGGTCATTGGAAAAGTCATGACACAGTTTTGCATTGAAAAAATACATCATTACTTTTCCAATGACCCCATACAAGTTTATTTTCTTGCCCCAAATTTGAAATCTATACTAGCTCTTTTAATAATATGTATTTCCCATGGAATTTATCTTTAAAAAGTAATTATTTATTTAATTTCATTTGTTATTATTATTTTTTAATTTGACTAGAGAGAGACAGAGAGAGAGAGAGAGAGAGAGGAAGGGAAAGCAAGAAAGCAAGCCACCAGATCCGGGACTTGAACCATGGTTGGCCATATGGGAATCCAGCACCTTTAACCACCATGCAACCTGCCAGCCCTGAACTTTTATTTTTAAGAAAAATTATTTAATTGTATTTGTTATTATTGTATTTAAAAAGTTTACTATAGGGTATGTGTACTCACTAGAGAGACAGACAAAGAGAAAGTGAAAACAAGCTGCCAGGTCCAGGAGTCAAACCAGAATCAGCCATGTGGGAGTCCAGTGCCTTAATCACCAAGCCACCTGCTGGCCCCTTCCATGGACATTTCAAAGACCTCTTATATTTTGGTTCCTCATTATACCTTTTCTAGTTTTTCTCTAGCCTGTAAAATAAATAAATATGTCAGTTGGTCAGTCATCTAGGCTACAAAACTCTGCTTTAACAGAAAGATTTCTTTCTTTCTTTCTTTCTATTATTTTTTTTTTTTGTAGAGGTTTTTGCCATAGGGCGCGTGCGCTCGCCAGAAAGACAGAGACAGAGAGACAGAAAGCGAGAAATGACCCCCTAGGGGTGATGGCCATGCCGCAATCCCTTCTCTTCCATTCTCCTTTCGGGATCTTGGGCACGCACGCACACGTGCCCAGCGTGAGTTTAAATTAACGGGTCCGGGACTTGAACTGTGGTCGACTAGTGACATAGCCATTATGCTAACTGCTGGTCCCAGCAGAAAAGATTTCTTGACATTTCTCTTAGTCCCCCTTGGCCTTGTCACAGCAGGGTTTTATTGTCCCTCTGCAGTATCATAGCACTATATACATATGTCTATTATACTAATTTATTCAAAGTTCTATAATTTTGCTTTTGTGCTTATTTTCCAATAGATTGATATGTTCTTGCGATTAAGAATAATTATATTATTTACCTTATTTATGTAATGCTTAGTATTATGCTAACTAGTCTTGTGATAGGTGTTCAAGGAATGTTGATTAAATACATTGGTTTTATAAAATAGATTTCTAAAATGTAATTTGTTAATTTCTATTGTTATTTTTTTAATGCCAGAGAGTGCATGTGGACGCATGAAAGAGTGAGAGAGAGAAAGAGTAAGAGAACACCCCAAGGAGGCCTCTTGCTTTTCTTCCATTTCTCTCTCCCGTCAGGATCCAGGGCACATCCACATGTGTGTGTGGAGTGTTGCTGCCAGAACCAGGATTCAAACTGTCTTGGCCATGTGATATCTGGCCACTTCTGTGCTACTTCTGACCCTCTCAAATGTAATTTCTTTTAGGTAAATTCCATCTAATTTCCAAGTTAGGAAGAGTGGAAAAAAGTGTAGAGGCTCACTGTGGAGCAGTACTTGCAGGGAGATGGAATTACGAGGGAACAGCATTAGTTACAGGTAAGCTGTCTGCAGAAATGACATTTTAAATGAATTTTTTTAAAGAGAAATTTCCAAAGAAACAGCATCATTAATAATATTTTTCACTGTCTAATAGCAAATAATTGGCACAGTGTTCATCGAAATGGCTATATAAATGTCTTAAGTAAGGACTCCATGTTTTCTTTTTTAAAAAAAGTTATATTTTATTTGACTTTATTTATTTTAATTTGATCAGAGGGGGACAGAGCAAGAAAGAGAGAAAGAGAGAAACTAAGCTGCCAGGTCTGGGACTTGAACCTCAGTTGACCATATGGGAGCCCAGTACCCTTAACCCTTATGTGACTTTTGGAGACTGTTATGTTTGAGAAGGCTTTTGGAATAGTCAAGTATGCGCTAAATAAAAGTTGTGACTCTTTAAAGTTCTGATTCCAAAATGATCTCTTTTAACTGATCTTACTTTTACCTTCCTTCCATCACTCTTCTGCCCTACCCTAGGATTCTCATTTGTTTAAAAAAAATTTTTTTAAAGAAATATTTTAATTAATTAATTAATTAAATTTTGAATTCATTATAGGGCACATGCGCTCACCAGAGAGACAGAGAGAGAGAGAGAGAAAGTGAGAGCATGCCACCAGGTCCAGGCCTTAAACCATGGTGCCATGTGGGTGCCCAACATCTTAACCACCATGCCACCTGCTGGTCCCAAGGATTCTCATTTTTACCTATTGCATTAGTAATGTATTACTGTATAACAAATTACTTCAATGGTTAGTGACTTAAGAAATTTACATAAGAATATCTCAAAACATTTGTGGAAAGAATTATTTTGGTGCAAAAAGTGTTCTAAGATTGAAAGAAAAAAATAATTTTAGTCATGAATTTAGGTTGCTTTGATCAAATTATTTCAGTGTGATATCTATTATCTTTTAATAAATTAACTTAATAAATTGTATCTAACAGACCAGTAGACGGTGTAATAGTTATGTTGTTGGACTCCTACATAGTCAGCTGAGGTTCGTGTCCCAGACCTGGCCGCTTAAAACTCACACCAGGCATGTATGCATTCTTGCCTAAAATCCGGAGAGGAGACGGGAGGGAAGGGATTGTGGTGTGGCTATCTCCCTGGGGGGTGATTTCTCACTTTTTGTCTCTCTGTCTCTGTCTCTCCAGCAAGCGCTTGTGCCCTATAGCAAAAATCTCTCTCTCAAAAAAAAAAAAATTATACCTAATTGTTTGTAAAAAAATTATTTTTTCTTTTTAAATAGAGATTTTTGCTATAGGACACATGCGCTTGCTGGAGAGACAGAGAGACTGAAAGTGAGAAATCACCCTCTTTGGGGGGGTGGCCACACCAGAATGCCTTCTCCATTCTCCTGTTGGGAATTTGGACATGCACACATATGTGCCTGATGTGAGTTTTAAGCCGCTGGGTCTGGGACTTGCACCGCAATGGACTACGTGGGCCATAACCATTATGCCATCTGCTGGTCCCAGTATCTAAATTTTAAATGTGTGTTATTTTAGATATTGTTTATTTTTATATGTAAATTTAATGTTTATTTTTTATAGATAAAATATTAGTGATTATTTTCTCTGTACAGTTGGAGAAGATGGGCAAATAAAAATTTGGTCAAAGACTGGGATGCTTAGATCAACTTTAGCTCAGCAAGGTATGTATATAATTGATTATTTTTGAAAATGATAGATTTCAAAAATGACATATTTTTCTTTAGAAATGATCTAATACAATGTTTAAAACTGACTTTGGCCAACTTCAAAACCTAAAATCTCTCAATTTTATTTCTATTTTGTCCTTACTTTCCAGAATGCTTAATGGACCATGGTAACCGTATTAGTCAAGCCAAGAAATATAAAAAATACTTGGGTCTTTTTCTTTATGTTACTGAATCTGTGTAAAAGCAGTTACAGGCTAAATGTTCTTTAAAAATCTTTAAAAATGGGGACCAGCAGTTAGCGTAATGGCTATGTTGCTGGACTCCCATGTAGTCAACTGTGGTTCGTGTCCTGGACCTGGTGGCTTGAGACCCACGCCAGGTAGGTGTGCGTGCGTGCCCAAGATCCCGAGAGGAGAACGGAGGAGAAGGGATTGCTGCGTGGCCATCCCCCCGGGGGGTGATTTCTTGCTTTCCGTCTCTGTCTCTGTCTGTCTGGCGAGGGCACGTGCCCTGTAGCAAAAACCTCTCTTAAAAAAAAAAACCTTTAAAAAAGATTCTGAAGCATATCTTATATGGAATAAGTTTGTGTTTAGTTAAGTAAATCATAGTAAGAGAAAACATTACTTAAAAATCCCCATAGAGCCAGACCCATGGCACAGTAGTTAAGGAATATGTGGAGGGAACCAGATTCCATGTGGCTCACCATGGTCCTGATCTCCGCCTCCATAGCTTGAAAAATATCCTGTGTGTGTGTGTTCCAGGATCCTGATAGATTGGAGAAATGGAGGAAAGAGGATTTGTGGCATGACCATGCCCCATTGGGGGGGTTCTCTCTCTCTTTCTGCCTCTTGCTGGTGAGTGCATGCACCCTCTGGAAATAAAAAAAAATCTCAATAACTTCAAAATACTAGCACCCCTTCTAAATTATGTTATATATTTGATTTCTATACTAATGGGAGGGGCACACACACTGATGATCTGAAACTCAGTAAACCATACTATTAGAGAAGCATGTTATTTTGTGTAAATGAAAAGGAATAGTCATGGGTTAATCCCAGAGGTGATTACTGTTGGGGTTTACATTATTTATGATTTTTTTTTTCTATGTGACAGATTGATTTTCCTAAATAGGTTTTATCTAGGAACAATAAAGCAGTTGTAAGGTTGACCTGAGCTTATATTAATGGATCTTTGGAGACAAGTTGCCAAAAGTCTTGCAGACTGTTTTCCAGAATTATATGATAAAGTCATAGTGTGAAACATCTTTAATAACTGACACAAAATATCAATATTTCATTTAAAAATTATATTTACTCTTAGGATAATGTTGAAATCACATTTCTTTAGCTGTACATTAACCAAATGTTAGCAAAGCTAATTAGAAATACTAGCTAGCATCTCTTCTGATGTTAAATCTTTACTACAGATAATCTCCAGGTTGAATCATTACCTATCAGTGGAAAATTTAAGAATTCAGAGAAGCAGTCATGAGTGAATTTCAGTCTAAAAAATAGTCAATTTGTTGTTGCTTTCATAATAAAACATATATTTAGACAATCTTACTTTAATTTTCTAGTATGCATTAGAATTTACTTTTGGCTCTAGAGATTTTCCTGTTACAGCTAATTATTTGACATTCTTGCTTGGTGATGAATGACTCATGAGCAATTGACAGAATTTTTCTAGAGATCACTGGTCTCTCGTAAGAACATCTGGCAGCAAATTTCAGTCGTGATTCTGTGGCTACCATGATTTTTTTTCAACTATTGCTAATTGCTAAGATATGTCTATTTTTCCTTTCGTTTCTTTTTCTTCTATCGGGTTTGTTACCTAAGGATGACCCAGATCTTAAGAGAAATTCTGAAAGCTCACTTCACTATCCACCATTGAAAATTTTAATTCTTTCTCAAAATCCTTTAACAATATGCTTTTATTTTTTCTTTTTTTGGAGAGGTTTTCGCAATAGGGTGCGTGCGTTCGCCAGCCAGACAGAGAGAGACATAGAGACAGAAAGCGAGAAATCACCCCCGGGGGGGATGGTCACACCACAATCCCTTCTCCTCCATTCTCCTCTCGGGATCTTGGGCACGCACACACATGCGCCCGGCGTGAGTTTTAAGCCACTGGGTCTAGGACGTGAACCGCGGTCGACTACGTGGGAGTCCAGCGACATAGCCATTAAGCTAACTGCTGGTTCCCCTTTAGCAATATGCTTTTAATGTTCCTTTCTTTCCTTAAATTCTTCCCAGTCATTTTCTTTTTTTCTTTTTTTTTTTTTTTTTTTTTGCTGTAGGGCACGTGCGCTCGCCAGAAAGACATGGATAAAGAGACAGAAAGCTAGAAATCACCCCCCCAGTGGTGATGACCACATCACAATCCCTTCTCCTCCATTCTCCTCTCGGGATCTTGGGCACGTACGCACACGCGCCCGGTGTGAGTTTAAGCCACCGGTTCCAGGACTTGAATCGCTGTTGACTACATGGGAGTCCAGCAACATAGCCATTACGCCAACTGCTGGTCCCCTTTCCCAGTCATTTTCTTTCCATCACCTTTAGAGCCACTGTTTTATACTTTCCAGATTCTAAAGTGGAAACTTTGAATAAGTTGTTTAATATAAGCATTGTTAATCATAGAGGGTAGGTGGTGATGGTGCTGTTAGGTTGCTACTATAGTTTACCTGTATAATGGGTCTGGAAACTAAACTGCTACTGTTTCATTTTCACAGGGAAAATGCAATGAGAGTTTCTATGGTTGCAAAGGCAGGTTCCAAACACATGCTCTTAAACCCTTCCTATAAAACTGGAGATCACAAACAGGTGACCTGTGGACACATGAACAGTATTCAGGTCCAACATTAAGTATCAGGATATTTCACATACCAGTTTGAATTTCTTGTTTTCTTTTGAAAAATTGGAAGATTTGGCAACATTGGGTCTGCATTCTGAAGTCACTTTAGTCAGTTGGAGTTCATTAGTAGTTGCTTCATTTTTAGTTGGGTTTTAAGCTTTTCTATTTTTCTCATATTCTACCTATTTCACTCATTTCTGTTACGTGATAGAAGACACATTGGCTCCTAAATCAATAAAGTGTGTTAAAAGTTTATAAAAAAACAAAACAAAACAAAACCAAAACAAAAAAGAAGCCATATAAACCTCTGAAGGGATTTAAGTTTGCAGTCCTTGCTTTTAGTAATAGTGATCATAAATTTTAAAAAAGAATTATTTATTTAATTTTATTTATTATTATTATTTAATTTGCCGTAAGGCATGTGCACTCACCAGAGAGAGAGAGAGGGAGTGAGAAAGCAAGCCACCAGGTCTGGGACTCAAACCACAGTCGTCTGTGTGGGAGTCCAGCACCTTAACTGCCACACCACCTGCTGGCCCTATTGATCATAAAATTTGATTGTCAGTGTAACTTTGCAGGGAGCGCTTAATTCTTTTTTGCTTTTAAGTTTTAATTTTATCTTGAATAGATAATATATTCACATTGTTCAGAATTTAAAGCTCAGACGAGAGTAAACTTGCTTTTACCTTTTAAATATTATCCCCATCTCTCACGTTGCCACCCAACTCTCATTGCCAGAGGCAACTAGTATTACCATTTTCTTGCATAGCAAATATATATTGGTATAGTCTTTTTTTTCTTTGTAAACTAGGAGCATACTACTACAGTATGCTCCTATATTTTTGTTTCTTTGCTTTTGTTTTTACATTTTATTTGTTTATTTTTAATTTTATAAGAGAGAGAGAGAGAGCGAGAGGGCAAGCCGCCAGGTCCAGGACTTGTACTGCAGTCAGCCATGTGGGAATCCAGCGCCCTCAACCACCATGCCACCTGCCCACCCTGCTCCTTGCTTATTTTCACTTGAATATTAACTGTCTTTGAAATAGTGCATTATCATAGTACATAAAAATATTCCTTGAACTGTTTTCCAGAGTGAATGTACTATTTTACAAACCCACCAAGCATATATAAGACTTCTAGTTTCTCCATATCCTTCTCAATACATGTCATGGTCTGTCCTTTTATTTTAAATCTTCCCAGTGGGTATGAAGTGATCTCTCAGTGTGGTTTTGATTTGCTTTTCCCTGGTGGCTAATGATGTTGAACATCTTATCATTTGCTTATTGACCATTTCGGTATCTACATTGGAGAACTATCTACTGAAACCATTTGACCATTTAAAAAAATTGGGTTGTCTTTTTATTGTTGAGTTGTAAAAGATATTTATATATATTGAATACCAGACTCTTACCGAACATGTAACTTGCATGTTTTTTCCATTCTTTCCCTGTATCTTTTAGCAAAAAATCATTAGAGAAGTTAAGTTGTTATAATGACACTAACAGAAGGAAAAGTCCCTGATTATGTATAAAGTTATTTGACCTATTATAGATTATGAAATTTGAGGGTCAATGTAAATTTGAACTAGAGAGAACCGATGCTAGAGGCTCAAGTGGGGGGCTCCTGACTCCTTTGAAAATATAAACTGTTAATTTTGACACAAAAATATAATAATATAAGCATAAATTATTGTAAAATTTGGAATTCTATAAGCAGTATTGAAAATGTCCTTGTGATTTTTTTCCCACTTGTTTAAGATAATTATACTTAGTCTTTGCTGAATAGGATTTAATTCCTGAATTCATTTCTTGACTATTAGAGGCAGGTGTTCAGATAGAAAATTCACAGCTGGAGCCTTCTCTAATACAGAAGATGCATGAATTCCAACATTGGGGGAAGGAAGTCGACTTAGTTTAAAAAGGATTCTTACTGATGCCTATGAGAAATTATTCCTTATTAAAGAAAAATAATGTCTAGGCCAGGGAGTATTATAATTGTGCTCATCTTGTGTTTCCCTGTGTATTTTAATTATAGACTGAAATTGGATAAAGTAATGCCACAAATTTTAAGGACATTTCCCTGGACAATCTTTTTTTCCCTCTTTCTTGCTTCCCCTTTCTTTCCTTTATTCTTTCCTTCCTTCTTTCCTCCCTTCCTTCCATCCCTTCTTTTTTAGATTTTTTTTTTTTAAAGAGGTTTTTGCCTTAGAGCGTGTGTGCTTGCTGGAGAGAGAAAGCAGCAGAGACAGTAAGAGAGAAAGTGGTAAATCACTCCTGGGGGGAATGGCCATGCTGCAATCCCTTCTCCATTCTCCTCCTGTGTTCTTGGGCTTGCACACACATGCACCTGGTGTGATTTTCAAGCCACTGAGTTTGGGACTTGAACCATAGTTGGCCATGCAGGAATCCAGTGACATAACTGCTATACCATCTGCTGGCCCCTCCTTCTTTCTTTCTGAGAGAAAGCGAAAAAGCACAGGAGGGAGGGAAAGAAGGATAGGAAGATAGGTACTTTTGATAGGGTTTTGCCATGGCATGGTCCTTCCTACCCCAGTTTTTCAGTTAGCAAAGACCATAGGTTCATGCCACTGTGCTTGGCCTGTCTAGGTTTGGCAGAGACCCAAATCTAGTCTTCTCTTGTATCCTTGCCATCATGCAATGACACCTTCCTGCTTATTCCACAGGCTGATCCTGTGCTATTTTTTTCTTTTTTTTTCTTCCCATGAGAAAGAAAGGAGTGTCCTCGTACCATGTTCCACTCTGGTCTCAGCCAGCTTGGATCATGGGAATGTGTGTGACACTGCGTATGTGAGGGAGTCCTGGGACACAAACCCAGGGCCTTTCTCGTGTAGATCTATTTGCAGTACCTCTATGCCAGTGCCTTGCCCCAGGCTGTACTATTTTCAAAAGGAGAAATGGAACACAAAATATGGAATGATGGATTTAGTAAAAGAGGTAAACTGGAAATATAAATAATGGTAATACAGGGCTGATTGTGCTCCTTGTTACAAGTTGCTGTGGGAGGCCAGGAAGGCAAAGACGAATGCTTTGCACAGAAGGAATGTATCAGAAAGGCTCCTGGCAAGTATTGCAGCATCTTTTGACTGGCTTTTGGAGGATGAAGAAATTAGGTAAGGGCATGGGCTTGGTTGTGTTGGAGTGGAGCTGTGGAGGAAGGTAGTGTCTTCAGAGGTGCAGAGACAACAGAGTGTGAGCGCAGAAGGCAGATAAGTGGGAGTGGGCCCCTCGTGTGGGTTGGGCTCTGTGAGGGGTAGATAGTGCTGCCAGAGGAGCCAAGGCACTGACAGCCCAGGATGCTAAAGGAAGGGGTTGGAGTTTTATTCTGTAAGCATACAGCACCTTTTTCAACTGAGCAGGAGAACAAGAGGTGATTGTTGTCTTTTAGGAAGAACACCCTAGCAGTAATAGGAGTAACACGCATGTAGGATAAATGAGAGGACATAGAATTAAGTGGGGGTGGCTAGGGAAGAGATTACAGAAATGCTCTATGCTAGTGCTAATGAAGCTTGGTCAGAGGCAGAGACAGCGGTAGTTGAAAAAAGCAAATATTCTTGGGCAGAGAGGGATGGATAAAGAATTCAGTGGGGAATTAGTTAAGAGAATATATATGGACAATGGTGGTTTTGAATTTGTAGAATTTGAAGTTCTAGTATGGAGATGTCTTTGGTGTGAGTGGAAATATGTGAGTTCTGAGGGAAAGGCTAAAGTATTAACTTGGAGCCCAGTTTCATAAAGGTGAAAGGTGAGACTATGGGGGATGTTCATATTTTCTAAGGAGAGGTGGTTGAGGAGAGAAATGAAAAAACAAACAAACAAACAACAACAACAAACCAGCCTTTAAACTTCTTCTGGAATTGACCCAGTGACATACATAGCCCAAAGTTGCTTTTTTGGAATAAATCCCACTTGATTACCTTTTCTACAAACACAATGAAAAGGAAATAATTCTTGGTTTTTGAATTTGTAATGACTTGGGGAGAAAACCGAGTTTTGAATTTGTAATGACTTGGGGAGAAAACCAACTACCATCAAACCAGTAGCCAAATACTTGCTTATTGCATTACAAATTAATTTCTAGTAATAGCTAACAGGGTGCTCATTTAGCAGGCTCTAGCTCTATTTCAAGTACTTTACTTACAGTTACTGAATATAGATCGATACTGAATGCAAGACAAAGTTAACTAATGCTTCATTATGATAGTAAACAGTTTGTTCCAAAAGCATTCTTAAAAACATACAAAAACAACATTTTTAGGGGCCACTTTTATAGTATGAATGTGAAAAACATGGTGTATTTGACCATGTACTTCCTTAAAACAATTGAAATACATTTTTGTCTCCTCTTCTGTGGTTTAAAATGCCTTCAACAGGTTGAAAGAATTTAGATAATTTGTTTTACGGAGAGATAAGGGTCTGACATTTAACAACCCCAGGTGCATGTGGTTTCTTAAAAAATGTCAAAAAGGTCACATGATTTTAGTGTACAAAGTCAGAAAAACAAGATCTTTTTTAGTGTCTTAACCGAAATGGAGTAATATTAAAAATTCCCAATTAAAAAAAGCAAGAAGTTTTAAAGTTATTATAAAACTATTTTGTACTTTTTGTCCATTTTTGTTAATGATGAAATTTAATAACATCTAGTATAATTTTCTATACTTTTGTTTTAAAGTAATTCAGTCTGAAAGCTAAATTTGTAATTTTCATACTGACTTTAAAGTGATATGTAGCACTGGGAATAATTAATGCCTTAATAAGCATGGTTTTAAAAACATTTAAAATATATGAGTTTGTTTCAAATACTAATGAAAGAGATTTTATCATGATATTATTATTTTCTTTGTGAGGCTAATTCATCCAGTTTCAATAATGATATTCATCTGAACCACCCAAATTGAAAGTTATATAGCTATGTAGTTTGTTTCTTATGGAAGAGAAAACATTCACACACACAGCAGTTTCACTCTTAATATTAAGTGTAAGTGATGAGTATAATGAAAACTCTTAATTCTTGATGTTGTATCCTTTTTGAATTTGTAGTGTTTAGGGAGAGCTGAACTAATGAGACTTAGCTATTGATCTTACATGTCTATCATAAAGAACTTCATTTTTGCATATAAATACGAGCAAAATTGATTGAAAGAATATGGTTAAAAACCACAAGTTATACCAGGAATTACTTAATTACTCAATAAAACAAAAGTTTTCTATTGTAAGTTATACCTATTTCTTTAACATTATTATTGTTCAAAAATTGTTTCATAAGCAGGAAATGAATTGTCTCCTCATCTCAATAGGGAAGATAAGTATTCTGAAGAAGGTGTATAAACAAGGAAATGGTGACACAGCTGACTTAATGGACCCACAAATTAAAGGTTGAAGTTAAGAGGATAAGCTCCTCATCCTATACCCCAACGTGCCTTTTACCACAACTGAAGGCCTAAAGTCACATCCTGTATAACTCAATAGGAGTCACATTTACTGAATTATTTCTTTGGGGCATAGATGTCTGTCATAGGTTAGTGTATACCCCAGGCCGGTGTAATTTTACTCAGTGTATTTATGAAGATTGGATAGGCTATCAATTAAAATTTATTAACTGTTTTTTTTAAAGAATCATTTATTTAATTTCATTTATCATTGTTATTTTTAAAAAATTTGTTACAGGGCATATGTGCTCACGAGAGAGAGAGAGAGAGAGCGAGAGCGAGAAAACAAGCCACTAAGTTTGAGACTAAAACCGCCAGATGGGAGTCCAGCACCCTACCACCACCCACCTGCTGGCCTCTTAGCTTACTTTATTGGCACAAAAATCACAACTCCAAAATGGATATAAAGAACGGATCTATGATTCTGTCACTCACTCATCAGTTCCCTCTTCCACTCCCCATTATTTACCAAGAACTACATTTGAAATACATGAAATTTTGACTTATACATTTAGGGGAGAGAATTTATTATAAAGTTGAGCTTTGTTCATTTACTTTTTAAGCCCAGGTAGGCTCCTGACTATTCCCAGAGAATTTTTAAAAAAGAGAGAGAGAATATATTTATCAAGTACAAAAAAAGGACTTCCTCCTGAGGTTGGTCAGCTCATTGGGAAGAATTTCTGTGGGTTCCTTTGGTACAGGACAGTCCTGGATGTCATTGAGTGAACAGAATGTTTAACGTTTATTTCATGAGTAGGAGAGACAGAAAGAGAGAGCGACAGCACCCTGACAGGGTTTTGATCTAAATTATAGTTAAAAGTATCAGCTGTGAATTGCTCATACTAGACTTTTAGTGGTAATATTGACCCACTCTGTACTTCAGTGTCCAGTTTGAAAGGGTCATTGAATAAGGAAACAGGATTACATTTCAGGTTCCCTTTTTGATTCTCTAAACAGTCTATTTTATAATGCAAATTAAAGTTCATCTCCTCTTTTTTTTTTTCTCTCTCTCTCTTCACCGGAATGCCCGTGTATTC